CGGCTGCTCAGCTCGGGCTGGACTCGAACTGCTGTTGCTCAGAGCTCAAACTCTTGAGCGAGCTCTTAACCAACTGAGCCACTCGGCCGGCCCTAAGGATATTCTTATTAAAAGATATTCTTCATTGTCAAAACTAGGAAGTTAATATTGCAAAATACAATTATCTAATCAGCTTTTACTGAGTTTTCACCACTGTCCTAATATATCCTAATATATTTACAACAAAGGAAAATTACAAATCGTTGCATTCAGTTGTCATTCATTACTCTTTAGCCTCTTCCAATCTGGAGCAGTTGTTCAGTCTTTGTCTTTCATAACACTGTTAGTTGAATTATTTTGTAGAATGCCCTCAGTTTGGGTTTGTAGAAGTTACGTTCTTAATCACCTCATTTTATAGGTCAATCATCCAAATCGTCCGTCATTCTCTTGGCTGTAATTTAGATAGTTTGGCCTGCACAGAGAAGCTTTATTTTAACCATTTAAAAAATTTTTTTGTTCTGATTACAAAAACTATATTTTGTAAGCAAGCTAGTTAATGTAACTATTGTTAACATATGTATATCCTTCCATACATATAAAGAAAATGGGTGCATATATTAAAAATATATATGTATTTGCATACACAATTATATATTCATTTAGTTTTTACAAATTGAATATAAATACACAAAAATATTATTCTGCTATTTAATTTCTTCCCCTGTCTTTTTTTTTAATGGGTGCATGGTATTTTGTTTATGGATGTTCTGTAATGTGATTAACCTATCTTAATTATAGTATTTAGGTTGTAAAAAGAGCATCATTGCTTGATGGAGTGTTTAATTGGTAGGATATACTTCTAGTGACATTACACACACACACACACACACACACACACACACACACACACACACACACACACACTTATTTCCAGGTTGTACAGAGAATCTGAAGCACTTTTTAGTTTTATTCCTGCACTTCTGGCATTTATTATGTGCTGTTCTAAGGCCTTTGTCAAGCTAATATCATGCTCGATTATAGATAAGTATTTTTGTCAACTAGACAAACATTCTCTCGTTTGAAGTCATTTCTCTCAACTACTTTTAAGTGATTATGGACTGTAGTCATTATAACTGCTAGCTGAAGGAATTAGCAGTTTTCCCTCCCCAAGAGAGGCAACTACAATTGATAACTTAAGGAGCTTCTCCTTTTACCAAAAGTACAGGCAGTGGTGAATTTAAGAATGTAGATAAAAGAGTGCTTCTCCCTAGCCTTCAGAGTTCCACTCATGTGGTAGTTCTGTACTCTGGAGCGACAGCCAACAGACTGTCTAACCCAACTTTGCGCCTATCTGTCAGACTTTGTAGACTGAGAGCTCAGTGATTGTTCATGAGTTTAGATCCAAATGAAGGTCAAATAAGTTTTAATAGGCTAACTTGGAAACCCAGTACCCAGTTAGAATGTCAATTAGGAAACTTAGCTTTTTGTGTGACTCCAGAGGAAGGATGCCCACATGAAAACATACTAGCTAGGTAAAGCAAATGTCACTCCTTAGGTAAGTAAGCCATACTCAGAATATTCAGTTTGATTTGATAGTGGTTCCTAATGCTGGCTTCACCTTAGAATCACCTGGAGATCTTTTATAAAAAAAAAACATCAATGCCCATCCCCACCCCCCCACCCCGAGATTTGTGTTTGGTTTGTCTTAGGTGGAGCTGGGGCATAATTAGGTTTTTCTAATATGTAATCAGGGTTCAGAGTCACTGATTTAGAAGACATTAGAGAGCCATGTTGCCCCGAATGGGACAGGGAGCCCAATTATAATTTGCAGCACACCTGAACTATAACTAATACTGGCTAAATAAAATTATGAAATATAAAACTTAGCTAAGTATAGGAACCTATTTTTAGGTGGTTATGGTGAAGGCTGGGTTTTTCTTAAAAAATTCTTTTGAAGAAGACAAAAATAGAGGACTGAACTGGAATTGCATTGAACTGTGTATATATATATATATATATATATCCCTAAGAAAGTAGGAAAATAGCCATTTTTAATAAGGGTCAGTAAACTTTTCTTGTTTGGGCCAGATGGTAAATATTTAAGACTTTGTGAGCCACATACAGTATAGCTTATTAGTTGCTCTTTCCAACCTGTTAAAGATGTAAAAATTACTCATAGCTTTAGGGCTGTCCAAAAACGGCTGGATTTGGCCTATGGGCCATGTTTTGCTAAGCCCCAATCTAAGCATTTGTCACTTGTTTTTCCCATGAAATGGTTTTGTTGGTGATAAAGTTATCTAACTTCTCTTTGTTTTTGTTTTGTCTTAGTTAACTCATCTGCTTACACTATTTACATGGGAAAGGATAAATATGAAAGTAAGTTTTCCCAAGCGTTTGATTTTGAAATTTCCAGCACGTAAGTATTAATTAATTGCCTGTTCCCCCCTTGGTTTGCTGGATGTGAGTTTTCAACTAACTACTAAGTAATCCATTATTAAGAACTCCAGAGGATTCACTTTCCTAGAATTTAGTTTATCAAATAATATTTGAGCTAATTGGATTACCTGTTGCTTATTAGAAACTTACTTTCCAAAGAGTTTTGTGGTATCATTTGATTCCGGGTGATATGAATCAGGGTTAACCTATGCTAGATCAAACAAAACAGTCTGCAACTTGGACTTTGAAAAGATCATTTTCTGTGCATTTTTAACACATTTAAGATTAGTGGAAATAGGGCCGGCCGAGTGGCGCATTGGTTAGGAGCTGGCGTGGGATGCCAGAGGACCCTGGTTCAGATCCCACATATGAAGGCCAGTGACGCTGCCCTGTACAGCTAAGATGCTGAGCAACAGCTCAACCTGGAGCTGGGCTGCCGTGAGTCGCCGGCGACGGCGAGGCTGCAGCCCCTGCTGCAGTGGGTTGCCATGGGCTATCTTGTGTAGCGAGCAGCCAGCAGCCGCAGTGAGCGGCCGTCCAGAAGCCGGCGACTGATCTGCCTTGCCTGGGAAGAGCGCAATGATGGTGCCAACTTGGGCCAGTGAAGCAATGTCCTCCCCAACTAGACTGAGGAACAAAACGACAGCAACTTGTCTGTTCCCCTTCCCCCAATTCCCCAATAAAAATCTTTAAAAAAAAAAGATTAGTGGAAACATATTTATTGTTTTTACTGAAGCTGAAGATGGCTCTTTTTAATTCATGAAATAAATGTTAACAGTTTTTATCTAACTTTGTTGCTCGCTCTTCAGAATGAAATACATTATTTCATACTGTACACGTGCATATAACTAAAACAAAAATTTACCAAAAAAATACCCATATCATTTGCTATGCCCTCTATTTTATTTCATCTTTTAAAAGCCAGTCTCAATCTTCTAAATTAATTTTTTGACCCACTAATGAATTTGAACTAAAGTTTAAAAGAAAAGCATTGCTTGAGGAGGTAAACTTTTTGACTGCACGAGTAGGGAGGGCAATGAAAGTGAAATTTTGCTTTCTTGATCAAGAGAGCAGTGAGTTGACAGCACCGACTCTTAGGGTGTGGAACATTGAGGTGAGGGAGAAAAGACCTGCCACAAGGGCACTTGGAGAAAATGACAGAGTTACTACTCTCTTCGAAGCTTGGAAAACACAGGTGATCTCACGGGGTAGTGTAATGTTTTGGAAAAGACAGCTCTTACATCAGGCCAATCTGGGTTAAAAATCCCAGCTCTTTAGCAAACTAACTATAGTTACCTAACCTCTTTGAACCTCAGATTTCTTAGCTGTAAGAAGAGAATCATGGGATGGTATCTACCTTGCAGGGTTGTGAAGGTTAATGAAAGAGCCTGAGTAAAGTACCTGGGCCATAGTGGGCACTCAGTAAGTAGTAGTTACCATAACTGGAGCTTCTTTAGTTCCTCAAAGCCACCTCTTCCCTCCTCTGGGAACATTCCAGGGCTGGATGACTCCGCCTCAGCAGTCGGAAAGCTGGCCAATTCACTACAATCACTTTTCTTTAACCTGCAGGTACTGCATTTTTTTATTAATCTTTCCTAAAACCATGAGTGTCTGTTCTAGGTGCAGTTTGAAACTGACAACAGTTTAAACTTGATCCTTTAAAAGGCAAGTATAACATTCTTTGGTATGAGACATTTTACATTAATGAAATAAATAAAGCCAAAAATTAAGAGATGTGAAAGAGCAGTGATATGGTTACATAGTTAGTATATTATATACTTATATATAAAATGTAACATATATAATATATGCGACATATAATAATGTGATATATAATAGTTATATAAATATACTTGTAAATCAGATCTATATAAAGTTTATTACCTTGCTATACGACTGGTTGCTATAGAGCAAATCAGTATAAGCAAGACTATCACATCTTAGCCAAGAGAAAAACAACAGAATAAAGTAACTCATTTTAAAAGTTTTTCCTTATAAGGTATTTATGACATTGACTCTGGGTGTGGCTTAATGGAGAAGTTGTTTGTAGTATATGAACATTTGAATTTTATTTATCCTAGTAACCCATAAATTGCTGTAGGTAATTGTATTTCGCTCATAGCCCCCTCCTGATGAATGTAGCTAAGGGGAGGAGGCTACCTTTCTGTATTACACTGAACAGTAAGGCACAGTTGCAAGAGCCATGGTCATCTACATTAGATGGATCCAAACCTGACCAAATCTACTTTTATTTGTACCACATCAAGGGTGCACGCTCAAGACTGAGGTTACTGAGAAGCACCTAGAGCGAGCGGCTCTGTGTGGCTGTGCAGGCTTTTCCCCATGCAGCTCTGGGGAGGGGACTTCATGTATTTCTTACAATGAAGAGCTGCCTTGATTCGGGTTCATGCTGATGGGCTCCCAGTGGTACTGACTGCAGGCGGCTGTGCCAGTGACACTCCTGCCGTATCTCTTTTTTCCATTTTAGTTTACTGTTCTGGGTCTCTGTGGGCCTATGCGCTAGCTGCTCTGAGTATCCGAAGACGAAGATTGAGTCTGCTTTTGCAGTGTTCAGGTGGAGGCACACACAAAACAAATGTGGGTCAACCTCAACATGCTCTAAAAAATAAAGTCTATTACAAAAATATGGTCAAAATATATTAATATTAATAGCAAATGCTGTAGAAGTAGAGGGGGCCCGAGAAAGTAAATGTTATTAGGGAGAGTCGAGAAGGCTTTATATAGGAGTGGGTTAGGATATGCTAGATTGTGGAATTCTTTAAGTGTCCTCTGTAGGAATTTATACCTACAAATGTAAATATATGATTATGTCTACATATGTAAATTTAGATTCTGCCTAGAGTTCCCTGGAGTGGTGTTTTGCTGTCATTAAAATATATATAGGAGGGCCGGCCGAGTGGCTCAGTTGGTTAAGAGCTCGCTCAAGAGTTTGAGCTCTGAGCAACAGCAGTTCAAGTCCAGCCCGA